GTCGGCAAGGTCTGTCATCTCGGTTGTGGGCAAAAGACCTGCAACTGACAAATAAAGGCTATCTCTCTCTCTCACAGGGTGACCATGGCTTCCCAGGACCTACTGGACTTACGGTGAGTTTTATGAGAACATCACAGTAAGGAAATTCCTGCTACACATTCGTCCTTTATGTATGTTATTACACTGAATATAAGTGTGTGTTTGTTCATTTCAGGGTCCAATAGGACCTCCTGGACACAAAGGAGAATATGGTTTCCCCGGGCGACCAGTGAGTAATTTTGTTTGTTTGATTATTAGGATATAAACCTCATCTATAGGTTAAAAGTGTTCTGAACTTGCACATGAAAGTCAAGGAAAACACAGAACCACTGAGTGGAATATACTTGTCAGTGATTAGCAGAACAATGTGTCATGTTTTTCAGCATACTGATTTTTTCCCTAACTAGTCATAATGGGAAATGACAAGCTGTTTGGTGGTTTTCTCCTTTCGATTCACTTTTAAATATAAGAACTACATTCATGACGCTCTTGTTTCTGTGCCTTCAAACACTTTTCTCCCTATCATGCATGCACTCTCAGTCCAATGGATTCTGTTCAGTGTTTGGGAAAACCTCTTGAGCCAAAAGTACTGAAGCTTTTCCGTTCTTCCCTCTATGTAGGGGCGACCTGGTATCCCAGGGAGAAAAGGTGACAGAGGAGATTCTGTTGGCCTACCGGTAAGACATTAAAGCATGAAGGGATTGCAGAGAGAGCATTATTTTACACTTAAATCATCCATCAGTAGTATACTGTTGCATTTTATCATCATATTGTGAATCATTCTTCTGCCAGTTATTTTACAGCTAGTACATCTGACTATAGTGTGTGGCACCACTGTTGAAACTTCCCCATGTAATCATTGGATGGGTAGAGCACATCTCAGCGCCAAACCCAACAATCATATGACCCCCTATGAGCAAGCACTGGTAACAGTGGGAAGGAAAAACTCCCTTTTAAGAGGAAGCAGCAGGCTGGAGGAGCTTCAATAAATGCCATATGAAACTGATCTGATGTGTCGAAGT